GGGGGGGGGCAGACCAATACCATTTGCTAGCAAAGATATATAATTTTAGTTTCACTTTTTCCCCCTAAAGCATTGCTGAACGGAAGCTTTGTATGGAAGAAAGCAATTCATGGTCAAACTCCATAAATAAAAAGCAATTTCAAGAACATTTCTAGTAACCTATTACCTTAAGACAAGGGTGAACATCTATAAATTGAATGGATTCTTCTGACATTCAAAATAAATTGAGTGGAAATATGTACCGTACTTATTCTGCATTTAGACCAACAAATGTGTGGCCAGTCACAGGTCAACAAATTATCCTTGATCATAACATTGAGAATACTGCATGATGCATTTGATGGTGGAAAGATAATACTTTGAAAATATTTACCTTGGCAAGAGATTGTACAATGGGGTTTTCCATTATTCCTTTCAAGAATATAATATCAATATCGTCTGCCCCCGTTGTAGAGGGCAGATCAGTCAGTTTCTCCAGAACTTGCTGCATCTCTGTAAGAAAACATAATAGATTACATTGCAGCTGACCAAAAGGAGTTGGATATTGGCAAGAAACATTGTCAATCTTTTACAAAGGCATCATACAAGCGTGAACATCCCACCAAATATTATGAGCGCGCTTGCTTTTTCTGGTTGCATGAGAATTGTATTAAAAGGAGAAGTATGAGGTGCTTGAGTAAGTATGAGCGCTTTTCACTCACCTCATAGTTCTAGCCGACCTGTGACAATGAGACTGACACAGGTCGGCTCAGTAGATCGGGAGGTGAGCGAACACATACCGGGTTCGCTCACCTCTCGATCCTGTCACGGCTCTCTGCCGTGAGAGGGGAGGGACTGGATTCCCCCCTCCCGCTCCGATCCTCTAGCGCTGACTGGCGGAACGGACGGGGGAGGGTGCGGGTACAGCTGGCTCTGCCTCTAGATAGGCAGAGCCAGCTGTCACTCACGCAGCTGGGCCAATCCAGACATAATTGTCGGCAACCGCCTCAGCGGTGGCGTCTCAGTATACCGCGATACTGAGCTTAGGGTGACGGGAGGACGCTAGTTTGTGTCCTCCCGTTACCCTAAGGAGAACTATGAAGAAAAGCACTAACCCCATAGTTCTCCTTTAAGCATCTCTCCTACCCTTCACTTGGGAAATAAAGTAATCAAGATTTTTGGGATGAAGATAAAACGCCATTGTTTTCTAATATGTATATTAGTTGATTTCATAAACAAAGCCCCCTGAATGATTTGTTTCCCTTGCTCTACATGCTTCCAAGAAAATCCGTCATTAGAAAAACACTGGCAGCTATTGCTGATCTCGCCTCATCTAACTTTCTACCTGGACAGTATTTTACCAGCCTGGCAAAAATGGAACTCCATTCTATTACTAGGGAAAAGGTCAGAAGGCTGGTATTTTCCCAGTAAAAGTGGTAACTTTACTCTGCTTCAATACTTTGAGTCAATTACCTGGAATAGGTATGCAGATAAGAACATCCGACTTTTCTTGAGTTACTGGCCTGGAACAAGTATGTAAATCAGGAAAGTCAATATACTGGAGCCAATGTTTCTGGAGAACTAGAAGTTACCTAGCATTTTAAGAAGGAACTCCAGAATGGCAGCCCTTATATTCCCTTCATAACAGGTTTCCTTAAGGCTGGATTAACACCTAGGTGGCAGCATTTTTGTGCACTTCTACATGCGTTTGATAGTTTAAAAATGCATTTATGCGCATAAATCAAGTCACACGTTTTTGTGAGGAGATTGTAGCGCATTGATGCTAATGAGAAAACGCATGTAAAATGCACAACACCACAGCAAACACGTGTTTTCAAGCATTTCCTGTTGAGTCTATAGGGCCAAAAAGCTTTTGTACTTTTTCCAGCGACAGGTATTTTGCTTATTGCGACAAACCACTCCAATGTGAACAGGGCCATAGAAACGAATGGAATTGGGGTGGCATATTTTTGGATTTTTTTTAGGGCAGAAAGAACACTACAAAATGCTCAATGTGAACCAGGCCTAAAAGCCAATACAGAATCTCTCTCTCTCTCTCTAGCTTATGTACAGCCTACACTAACTGCAGATGGAGAACAAGGAAGATATCTGCTTTCCATGCCTGTTTGACAGTCTCCACTGTCAATGTTTTTTGCATTCTTTAAAGCACTCATGTATGCAGTGGTTGATCACAAACAGGCAGCGCTTGCATACATTTGGCAAAATGTAGAGAACACATTCAATACAACACAGTCTCAAGAACAGAACAAGAAATGCATCCTAGTAGAGAGACAAGTGGCAGTATAGAACTACAAGGGGTAGGGAATGGGCATGGCCTTTCCTCATACAGGGGCTGCAGTTTGTGACCTTCAGTGATTGCTTAAGTGCACTGCAGCATTAATATAAATGTATGGTTCCTATCAGTGACTATATTTGGATCAAACAGCTTCTGAGGAAGATGTCTTTCTTGTTCTCACTCCATATATTTGCTCTCAGCACAGACAAGTTAAATGTAAAAACAGCACTGCTTATGCTGATCCAGGCCTTTGATGGTAGCATTTAATGCATAAGGAAAGAGGTTATACCTGAAAAGTTGCTTGGTGTAACTGGATATATTGAAAGAGCTAAAATGTAGTACAACAAGCCTTTAAAAGGAGAACTATGGGGTCAGTGTTTTTCCCCATAGTTCTCCTTAGGGTAACGGGAGGACACAAACTAGCGTCCTCCCGTTACCCTAAGCTCAGTATACCGCGAGCTAACAGGTCGGCTAGAACTATGAGGTGAGTGGAAATCACTCATCTCATAGTTCTCCTTTAAGATCACCGAGAGACATACTATGCGTTTGCCTTCCCCCATCTTTGACAGCTGAGACATGCTGAGAGAGTGCAGTCACACCAGCTTCTTTTTTTAAATTTTACATGGCAAAATATTTGTCCACTATAAAATGAACACGAACTACAGTGTATGTCTGCATTCTCGCTAGAGTTCTCATTCAGTTTTATTCTCCGACCCTGCAAGGAAAAGCATCTCAGGATAACAAAGGCAACTTAATAAAAGCAGTGGATGTCCCTGGGCACCCAGAATAGAATTGTGTGTACTTACATTATATAAACTTCTAAAAACACAAACCATGACCCCTACAGCATTTGCCTTTTTTTCTAGTTACACACTGCACCATTTGTTTACATGAACATAATTCTATTTTACCTCTATTATAGAGAAGAAAAAAAAGCTTAACAAACAAATATTACCTTAAATTCTTTTATGGTCATACCATGTATGACAGTTTTGCTGTCTCACAAGCCAAGAATATATTTAACTGATATTTAACTGATAAATTATGTATTGGACAGATGTGGCAATGCTACAGAAGAGGAACTAGAAATGCTGCCTATATCTGCCATACCCCAGACTTCACTTTCCCTTTGTAGGTTAGCAAATGTAACCTAAACCTCAATAGGCTACTACAGACAACAGAACCTGTTTTATTTTATTTGTTGCTGCTTTAAAAATGGCAAAATAATGTGGTTGTAGTTTGTGATTTTAACTTCGGTCTTGGCTGTGAGTGGTGCCGACATAGATCCACAATGCATATTAGCATTTAAATCAATAATCCTTTTGCTGTAGTTGGTTACCTGCCATTTTGCACCTCAGATGGTCAAAAAAGCTTGGTACAACCCTCAGCCAGCCTAGGGGTCTTTCTTAAAAGGTGGGTCACTAATTAACCTCGCTTTCAAAAGGGAAAAGCTCCAACACACTATGAAAAATGACCGGCATATTAATCTGCTGCACTTCATATATGACAGCCCGACCAGAGACAGTTGGGACACTAAGGGAAGGTGTCAGGCTCCAAAAGGCAGGGAAAAGCCCCGAGTACTCACTGAGTAAGGAGGTCTGGATGTTCACTGGCAGTGCACTTATGGACACTACAGACAACCTTTGCCCCTCCAGTAACCACACATTCAAAGGAGCCTTCAGGGATGGAATTCTACCAGCAAGTGAGTCACAGCCCTGGACCTGTACAGTGCTCAGTGGCTAACTCGCACATTATAGGCCAGCCCCGCTGCTTCCCCACAGCAGGCTCTGGGTGTACAGCCTCCATGGCTATGGAGGCTGTACACATAGTGCATGCTGTGGGTAAGCAGCCTGGCTACAGCCTCCATTGCTCCAGAAAGCTGCAAAATGAACAATACTGGCTTTGCAGTATTTGTATAATTTTGACAGAAGAAAAATTATTTGAGCTCACAAAAAGACCTGGACGTCCACGGAAAACTACAGTGGTGGATGATCATAGGATCCTTTCCATGGTAAAGAAAACCCCTTCACAACATCCAGCCAAGTGAAGAACACTCTCCTGGAGGTATGCATATCATTATCCAAGTCAACCATAAAGAGAAGACTTCCCGAAAACAAATACGGAGGGTTCACCACAAGGTGCAAACTATTCATAAACCTCAAGAAAAGATCAGAATTCTTTGGACAGATGAAACCAAGATCAAACTGTATCTGTATCATCTGTAACACAGTGTGATGGCATAGGCATGCATGGCTTCCAACAGTGCTGGGGCACTAGTGTTTATTGATGTGACAGAAGTAAGAAGCAGTCGGATGAATTCTGAAGCATACAGGGATATATTATCTGCTCAGATTCAGCCAAATTCAGCGAAGTTGATTGGACGGCACTTCACTTTACAGAAGGACAATTACCCAAAACATACTGTGAAAGCAACCTGTGAGGTTAAAGTGACAAAGGATAATTTTTTCCCCCCCCCCCATGTTAATGTTAGCACTTAACTTAAATTATGTCTCTTAATCCAATCTTCCTCCTTCCTGATGTTTTCATCTGTCCTCAAGCGTGGCGGCAGCTCTCCGATAGAGCGCTGACTCCTCTCTGCTTGCAGGCACTTCCGATCCAGCGGTTTCTGCATGCAGGTGCACGCGTCCATAGACTTACCTTGCGTCTCTGCTCGTCTCCCGGCCAAGAATCCAAACTGCGCATGCGCCTGTCCCAAGATGCTTTGCGGCCGCCCGAAAAGTTTGATTCTCGGGCGGGAGTGCGCAGCGAAAACAAGGTAAATGTAAACCACTGTTAAAAGCGGGTATAAAAAAAACAAAAAACTTTTTGCATACATCTACTGCTTTGCCTCTAAGGCAAACAAGTGGAATATTCTGCAATGGTCTAGTTAATCACCTCATCTCAACCCGATCGAACATGCATTTCACTTGCTAAAGACAAAACTTAAAAGGCAGAAAATCCCATGAACAACCAACTGAAGACAGCTGCAGTAAAGGCCTGGCAAAGCATCACAGAGGAGAAAACCCAGTGTTTGGTGATGTCCATGCATTCTAGACTACAAGTAGTCATTGCCTGCAAAGGATGCTCAACAAAGTATTAAAAATGAACATTTTATTTATGGTTGTGTTAATTTGTCCAATTGCGTTTGAGCCCCTGAAATAAGGGGACTGTGTAGGAAAATGGTTGCAATTTCTAAACATTTCATATATTTTTGTTAA